AGATTCGCCTGCACGTGGTCACAGCGAAGTAGTGCGAGGGGGGAAATCTCGGTAGATTGTAAGTGAATGTACCGCGAAATTTCATCTAGGGAGAAATTTTCGCGATATTCTTCAATATTGCAGCTACTCGTTAACGACTATTATAACGAATTCGTAAGAAAAGGGGGGTGTTATAGAAAATCAGCAAAAAAGGGGGGTATAGTAGAAACGAGGCTCCCCATAACACCCACCCCGCACAAGCTACCCGGGGGTGTACAATTATGGGGGGGTGTTTTGTCCGGGAGTATACGGTATATGTTGCATGTTGTGTAGTCTATAGTGGGGTAGCCCATATGGGGTACAACACAACTTAGGGTTAGTACTTGTACCCATCCTGCTGCTAGTTCAATTTATTCTCGTTCGTTACTTTGACAGTCTTCGCCGCCTCCGCAGCCTGCTGCTGTGGACTCTGGAGCTGAGACTGCTGGTGCTGAGCCTGGGGGTGCTGAGATAGAAGGTGAGGGTTCTTGGGGTGCTGATTCTGGGGGTGCTACGACTGGGGGTGCTGGTTCTTGGGGTGCTGCGACTGGGGGTGCTGACTTTGGGGGTCCTGCGAGTCCTAGTGGCGATGGAGCTGTGGGTGACCCTACTAGAGGTCTTGGAGCTGGACAGCCACCGCAGCCTGACCTACTTGAGACACTCTCGCCGCAGGCAATTCGTGCGTGGATCGTTTGTCGAGGCAATCCTGGTGGTTGAGGGTACGGTCCTGCTGGTGCTGGAGCTGCTAGTCCTGGAGGTACTGCTGGTGCTGGAGGTACTGGAGGTACTGCTGGTGCTGGAGGTGCTGCTAGTGCTGGAGGTACTAGAGGTGCTGCTGGTGCTGGAGGTGTTGGAGCTACTAGTCCGAGAGGTGCTACTGGTGCTACAGGTGCTGGACCTACTAGTCCTGGAGGTACAGCTGGTGCTGGAGGTGCTAGAGGTACTGCTGGTGCTAGAGGTGCTGGAGCTGGAGGTACTGGAGGTGCTGGAGGTGCTGGTCCTGGAGGTGCTCGTAGTGGAGGTGCTGGAGCTGCCGGAGCTGGTGGTGCTGTTCGAGCTGGAGGTACTACTGGAGCTGCTGGCAGTGGAGGTACTGGAGGTACTGCTGGTGCTAGAGCTGCTGGAGCAGGTGGTACTGCTGGTGCTCGAGGTGCTGGAGGTGCTACTTGAGCTACTGGCACTGGAGGTGCTGGAGGTACTACTGGTGCTAGAGGTCCTCGCGCTGCCGGAGCTAGTGGTGCTGCTGGTGCTGGAGGTGCTGGGGGTGCTGCTGGAGCTGTTGGTGCTGGAGTTGCTGGTGCTGCTGGTGCTGGACGAGCTAGAGCTGCTAGTACTGCCCTGCGCATACCGTTTTCCTACCCGCAGCCGCAATCGTCCCTGCCGCCGCCTGACTCGGTCCTTCGCCAGGTTCTTAGTCTCTCGTCTTCCACTGGCCTCCCTCTACTCCTCCTACGTCCATCGACAGACCATTCTCAGCCACAGCTACTGCCTGGCTCCCTGCTGCCTGCGCCTGCTCCTCACACCGAGGTGCGTGAGTCCCTGACTGAGCGTCGTGAGCCTGAGACTCGTGCTTCCACACCTGTTCGTGCTCGTCGTGTCGCCCGTCCATGTCCTCCTGTTGTCCTAGGCACTCACGGTAAGGCACTTCGTCCTTCCTCTGTTCCACAGCGTGTTGTCCTGCCTGAGCCTCCCGCATCCTCTCTTCCCCACGTTCCTGACCCTGAGTCTGACCTTACTCATGCTGCCAGTCCTACTGTCACTCGTCTCTTCGCTACTGTTGTCACTGTCCCTGACCTTGAGTCTACTACAGCGTTTGCCCTAGTCACTGAGCTAGTCGACTTTACAGCTAGGAGTCGTCTCGACTACGTCGCGAGTCTTGTCACTGAGTCTGATTCTGTCTATCCTCCGTATGTCCGGGGTGAGCTTGCCCTTGGCAGTGACGTACTTGAGGACAGATAGTTTGAGCTTGGGTGTCTTGCGGCTGCTTTACCTCGTTTCGCATCCATGCTGCTTTGCCCTGAGGGAGACCCGAATGCACTTGACATCCCTACCCCGCGCTCTTACGCTGAGGCGATCGCGGGTGAGTACTCCTCTCAGTGGCAGACAGCCATGGACGCACAGATGGCTTCCTGGAAGTCCACAGGCACCTACGTCGACAAGGTTCCTCCTCCTGGGGCGGAAATAGTCGATGGCATGTGGATTTTCGGAGTGAAGCGGCCGCCGTATTTTCCGCCTGCCTTCAAGGCACGTTACGTTGCTCGAGGCTTCAGTCAGCGACAGGGGGTCGACTTCTTCCAGACCTTCTCCCCCACCCCGAAGATGACTACTCTTCGGGTGCTGCTGCACGTTGCAGCACAGCGTGACTACGAGCTGCACTCCCTCGACTTCTCCATAACTTTCTTGCAGGGCAGCCTTCACGAGGAGATCTGGCTGCGCGGCCCACCCGGCTTCACTGGGTCGTTTCCTGCGGGTACCCAGTGGAGCCTCCGGCGGCCGGTCTACAGTCTTTGCCAGGCGCCCCGAGAATGGTACAACACACTGAGGACTACACTTGCGGCTCTTGGGTTTGCTCCTTCCTCTGCTGACCCGTCGCTGTTTCTACGCACCGACACTACCCTGTCGCCGTTCTACGTTCTAGTGTACGTCGACGACTTGGTTTTTGCTACTGCTGACACTGAGGCACTGGCCCTAGTGAAGGCGGAGCTGCAGGAGAGACACATCTGCACTGATATGGGTGAGCTGCGTAGCTATCTTGGCTTGCAGATCACCCGGGACAGAGCATGGCGCACCATCACCCTGACTCAGTCACACATGGTGCACCAGGTCCTTCAGCGCTTCGCCTTCCAGTTCTCCTCGCCACAGCCCACTCCTCTGTCTACCGGCCACTCGCTCTCAGCTCCACCTTCGGACGAGTCCGTAGATATGAGTGGTCCGTACCCAGAGCTTGTGGGTTGCCTCATGTACGTGATGACGTGCACACGACCTGACCTTGCGTACCCTCTCAGCCTCCTGGCTCGCTACGTGGCTCCCGGTAGACACCGAAAGGTGCACTGGGATGCTGCAAAGAGGGTACTGCGTTACTTGTGTAGTACATCGGGCATGGGGCTAGTGCTTGGAGGACAGGGTTAAGTGGTACTCACCGGACACTCCGACGCTTCTTGGGCCGATGACCAGGCGACTCAGCGTTCGTCACAGAGTTACACCTTCAGTCTTGGCTCTGGTTCTATCTCGTGGAGGTCCACTTGTTCTTCTTCTGTGCTTAGTTCTAGCTGTGAGGCCGAGATCTACGCTGGGGCCATGGCTACACAGGAGTTCCGCTGGCTGACCTACCTGCTGACCGACTTGGGGGAGCGGCCTCGTTCTCCTCCAGTTCTGTACGTCGACAACAAGGCAATGCTTGCCTTGTGTCACGAGCAGCGACTGGAGCACAGAACGAAGCACATTGCTCTTCGCTACTTCCTTGCGCGTGAGCTGCAGCAGCGTCGTCAGCTCCGCCTTTCCTACGTGGCCTCGCGGGCCAACACTGCTGATGTGTTCACCAATGCCCTTCGGTCTGGTGATCATCAGCGTTTCTGCACTGCTCTTGGGCTTGTGCCCACTCTGCCTCACCTGCTGGTTGCTTGACTTGCTCTTATTGTACACTGATATATATCTTTATACCTGCTTGTTTACTCTTGCTAAGTTGTGATAAGTGTACTTCCTTGCTATTATAACTCTGCATGTGAACTTGCCTTGTGGCCGCTTGCTTGTGCTCAGATTGTGTGGTGTCCTTGAGATCCACCCTGAGCTTTGTTTTGCTTTGCTTTTGCAGTGTTGTCTTCCTTAACTGGTCTTGTGACTGTCTTGTTGTCCCCCCACTTTGCCTATGGGGGTGTGTCAAAGTACTATCTTACTTGTAGGCTATAGTGGGGCACTCCTTATAGGGTACTGCACTTCTAGGGTTAGTTCTTGTATCCCAACTCTTGCTAATCCAATCATTCCTGCACAGTTCTCTCGACACAACCGCCCAGCCAGCATGATACGACCGCCGACAGAACCAATCATCACGCCCGAAAAGATTATGAGCCACTGAGTTTGTGACCCACGAGGAGCTCGAAGGGTCGAATTTCTGATCCGTTGGAAAGACCGCACGCCCACCGAAGACAATTGGGTTCCCCTGGACAGAATCGAAAACCACCCCGTCCTCACCGAGTATCTGCGCAGCCTGAATTTCCGGGATGTACACGCGCTTTCGTAAGGAGGGCCTCCTTAGGGGAGGGAGGGGGGGGGGGGGGGGGGGGGGGGGGGGGTAGTGTAAGGAAAATTCGTTTTCCTTACTTCGCGTCCCTGCTCAGCGCGTACACCACTGTTTCCCGCCAACAGCACGCCACAATCATCCGTTACCACTCGCGACATTCGCCTCGACACTATTCCCGCCACTGTTCACAACGCGACCCAACCTCACGGTTCAGTTGGTAACCCGCGCTCCGGACCTCCGCCTCGACAATCCCCAACCTCGGCGCGAGGCCCGTCGCGCACCCCATTTTCCACATGTTACCGTTACCATTGTAGCTTCGCTAATTATTATTCGCTCAATCATTAGCTCAATCCTCGCTCGCTCACTCCATTGCACTCGATATAGTAACAAATGTAGAGAAATTTCCTTGCATGGAGATAAATTCACGCACCTGCAGCTGGTAGTGAAAGTTCAATCGAGACTTCACTTCCCAAGCAATCCAAACAGCTCAGCTTCTTCACCTTGTCATCCCTTGGAAACGTACAGAAACGCATTACACCCCACCTCCGGGGACCCCCAAGCCTCATACATGCATCTTCAAGCCAAAGCCAAGTACCATCTGTCCATATTGCTCCGGTACACGCCTCCTCACCCGCCGCTCCTCGCGGGAAATCCCACTCGTGCCCGAGCCAGCGCAATATAAGAGACAAAGCCAGTTATATATCACATAAATTTTTGTTTTTTTTTTGTTTCGCAGGCTACAATCATGATGCAGCTATTATCGCTTGCACCCACGTGCGCCTCACTCTCCTGTGTCCCCGCGGCCCCCCGCGCACCTCTTGTTTCCGCGGAGGCAAGCTTCCGCACGTCCGCAGCCCGTTTCCGCAATTCCAGTCCCCGCTTTCACCACTCTTCTCCGCTAGTCGCGCTATCTCCCCTCAAAAGCGCCTCCTCCGCGCGATTCTCTCCTCTGAACGCTCGACTGCTCCGGACGCCGCCGCACGGGGCGACTGCGGCTTCTCGCGGGGGAAGCGCGCGCGCCAGGGGGAAGGGGGATGAGGATGCGGACCCGCGCGAGCGCGCGGAGCCGGTGGAGGCGGAAATTGTGGGGGAAGATGAGTGGGACCAGTGGCGGGGACGGGGGAGGGCGGGCGGAAGCGGAATGCGCGGAGCGCAGGGGGGTTTTAGTGCGGACGAGCGGGAGATGCTGCGCAGATTGGGCGCGGAGGAGCTTCCCCCCGGGTGGGATTCCGCCGACGTGTATCTGCTAGAGGAGAACGTGTGGGCTAGCAAACCCTTCTGGTGAGACTTTTCCGGGCTAGTATACCCTTCTTGAAGTAACTTCCCTGAAAAAAAAAATGAATCTCACATTCTCCTAAAGATGAGATGTACACCATTCGCTCTCTCACATACCCTCTCCCCCTCCCCTCCCCTCCCTCCCCTCCCCTCCCCTCCCCTCCCCTCCCCTCCCCTCCCTCCCCTCCCCTCCCCTCCCCTCCCCTCCCCTCCCCTCCCCTCCCCTCCCCTCCCCTCCGCTCCCCTCTCCTCTCGACCCCGTCCAGGTGCCAGCCGTGGACGATATTGCTGACGGGAGCCATGGTGGTGAGAAGTACCATATCCGAAACGCCCGAAGACCAGACTCCCATCTCTCCTCCCCTGCCAAAACCCCGTCCAGGTGCCAGCCGTGGACGATAGTTCTGACGGGAGCCATGGTGGTGGGGATGTCATGGGTGGTGCTGCATTTCATCTTCGTCACGCTCCTCGTCGCGGCTGCCATCGGTGTCTGGTGGCTCACCTTCCTCGTTGCATACCCCGCTGTAAGCAAACGTACCTTGTGTCTGTGCTCGATTTCTTCCGCCAATGGCTGGCCCTCCCATTAGCTCACAAGGCATCCAGTACTTGGTTGAATCATCTTGGTTGAAACCATTCTCTCGTCGCTCTCAGGGAAGGTTTTCTTTTGTCACTTTGCATTGAAGCCCTTTTTCGCACCCTGCTCTTGCTAAATACCGGAGTTCCTTGCGACCTTCATTTCTCAACGAGGTAGTTGTTGGTGATTGTGCCTGACTCTCTTCACTTGCAGGCTTACAAGGAAATGGTGCAAGAGGAGAGGAGGAGGAGGGGAATGTAAGCAATCATTCCATCGTGCAAGAGGAGAGGAGGAGGGGAATGTAAGCAAGCATTCCATCCTTTCCAATAGTGACAGGCTAGAGGATTTTGTAGTAGTGTTGAGTGAGGCTTGGACTTCGTATACGGTATGTGTTTGTGTTGAGCATTCTGTTATCTTTTCTTTAATTACCGTATCGCCCCGGATATAACCGCAGGCCTATTAAAAGCGCATGCGCTTATATCTGGAGCAATGCGCTTATGGCCGATCCTCAATTAGAAGCGCACCCCTTATAAAATCGTTACTTAATATAAGCGCACCCTTGTAATAAAAAAATACACTTTGAATATGTCATTATCGTTAGAGCTAAAGCAAGGCTAGCCTTCAATATGAAATTTTGCACTACCTAAAAGTTTCACATACCGTATTACCCCGGACATACCACCCGCCGAAATAGAGCACCCCCCGGGTGGCTTGTGCGGGGGGGGTGCTATAGCGGGCCTCATTTCTACTATACCCCCCTTTTGGGGCGATCCGGTATAGCACCCGGGGGGGGGGGTGTTATGTACGGGTAATATTGCAGTTTTTGCCTAAATAGCACTGGGTTTCCAATGATTAACCATCTACATGTTAACATCAGCACAAACAAGCTACGTCTGACGCTATACAGCGATATCACTCCCATCACACAGTCTTTCCTTCATTCAGATGGGGCCTATTACCATCCAGACAGAATGCTATCTACCTACACAGAAGAAGCCCTTCCTCCTACTCCTCGTCCCCAGCATTCCATTCCTCAACCTCCTCTCCGTCAAAGCGGTCGGGGAGCCACCAGTCAGAGCCGGCCTCGCTCCACTCATCTGCATCCCCATCTTCTCCAGCCCCGTACCCTTCCCCATCTCCGTCTTCCGCATCCGCATCCTCTTCGTCCTGCTCCACATGCATGGCGTCGTCGTCCGCCTGCAGCACCTCGGCCGGCACGCGGGCCTCCTCGAAGTAGGGGTTGGGGATGACCTCGTCTTCAACCATCTCGTTCACGTCCTCCAGCACTTCCACCTCACCCTTGTCCCGCAGGTGTGCGAGGATGAGGTGGTCTTCGCTGCCGTCGAGCTTGGTGGAAATCCCGCAGGTGACAAAGGACTTCCTGATCAGCTCCTCTGGGACCTCCTGCCAGGACTCGTCGATCCACTTCAGAACCGTCTCCGCGGGAGGCTTTTGCAGATTGCCTGAGGGATGGGCAAGGCACGCACCGAGTTGTTTGATGAAATACACAGGCACGCATGCACAACAACACGATCGGAAAGCAAGGGACCATCTCACCTGCACGCGTCCTCGTGTTGATCCCGATGTCTTCAAACCAAGTGCCATAGCGGTGACGCGTACCGGCCTTGAACGCGCGATTCACGGACACGTCTAGCGGCTGCAGAAGCGGGGTGCACCCCCCCGGGATGACCGCCCGCGTCAGACGGAACATTCGCATGGTTTGACCGACGGCTTCGGTCAAATGGCCGCGGTAGGAGTCCAGGACGACCAACGCCTCCCTGCGGCGTCCGGCTCTTTCGCGGATGGGCTTCAGAAACGGCACAAGTACCTGGGTTATCCAGTCCTGCACAAGGCCTTCGTCCATCCACCCCTTCTCTTGTGCACGGACGACCACACCTGCCGTTCACAACGCAAAGAGAGCGAGTGGTTAGAGGGAGTAATGGATACAACAACTAGAGTGAAGATTGAAATAGCTGGATACTTACCAGCTGGGATGGGCACTTTGGGGATGGTTTTGCGTTTGAAAATGACATATGGAGGAAGCTTCAGCCCTCCCGCCGTCACTGCCAGCATGACAGTGACGCGTTCCTTCTCGTAGCTGGCAGTGCGCACGTGGACCGTCCGCGCTCCCTTCGTTTCGATTGTACGCTCGGCCGGCATCTCCAAAAACAGAGGAGTCTGATCCGCGTTCACGATCAGGTCGAGCGGGTAGTCGTGGAGGGTGCGCATCCGCATCAGGAACTCCCAGAAGGATTCAACCTTAGCCTTGCAATCTGCACGCACAACAAAACACAGAGAAAACATTAAGAGCTAGCACAGCTCAGATAGAGATGCATCCATTCAAGGACAACTTACCCGCAGCTAACTTCTGGCCCATCTTCGTTTTCACCCGTCGAGCCAGGTGCCAGCGAGCGCGGAAACGATTAGTCCAGCGCTGTGAAGCGCGCCAAATCACGCCAGGCATCCGATGCTTCATGAACTTGGCGCTCCACTGCTGCAGCATGCTGACCGATACGGCGAGTCCCTTAGCGCGGTGCTTAAGAAACTGCCGATACACGGCTCGTTCCATGAACGGGTACTTCGCGCGGCGCCCAGCTCCCATGAGGCGACGGCGGCATCCAGAGGCGACCTCCAGACGCTCCTTCATCCGCTTCCACTCGCGGATCTGGCAGGGCTGCACCTTCGCCAGCTTGGCCAAAGCTCGATTTGACAGGTCCGGCTGCGATTCCTGCAGTTTCAGCCAGTGGAGCTTCTCCTTGGCGGTGTACGCATGACGAACACGTTTCGTCATGCGATGACGTGGGGAAGGAGCGTCGGCATCCGCGTTGCGCTTCGGAGGTCCCTGGGGGCGTGTTTGTTCCGGGAAGGAAGGAATCTTCACCTTCGGCAGCGCCGGCATAGGACGGGTCGCGCTGCTGCTCGGTTCATCGTTGGTGGCGCGACTCACGGGGGGTGACGGCTGCAGCAGGACGGGCCGGGGCGAACGCCGTGTGCCCGCAGCAGCGGGTGACTGGGTGACGGAAGGCCGCTGCCGCCTAACCACTGTGCTACTGGAGTCTGGAGAGGTAGCCATCTAAGCCTAGTGAACGTTGGTGTCACAGGCCATGGAATCCCTGAATTTATGCTAGGAAAGGGATCGAGGAGGCAGTTGGTGTTAGCACACTCTGCCGAGCATTGCTCGAGTTCGTGGAATGGAGCCGCTGCACAGAAAGAAGGATGAACTCCTTCTCAGTACAAGGACGTGACCGCCTCAGCGAGGCAGCTGAGGCTGTTGCGGGCGCTCCGCCTTTGTGACTGCATGAATCCTCGTCGAGCGACGAGGGGGTGTGTTTTCTTTCCAATCAGGGCCTGACTGTGGGCCTTGTTGGAGCTTGCAATGTGGCAGCTAACCCACGAGACTAACGTTATCGCCCAGTCCTCGGTTTTGCGCACCCAACCAACAATCTACCACCGCGTCAAACATGTACATTTTGTTCTCAACCTTTTGTGCTCTAAAACAAATATACATTATGTAACGACCCGGGTGCAATGTAGCTTTTTCCGATGACAAGACCCCCCCCCTTTTTTTGTGTAGTTATCATAGCACCCTAGGGTGGTATGTCCGGGGTAATACGGTACAATAGGGTGACTATTGTCCTAGCCTAAACACCATCTTGCCTAGTCTAGCCTTAGGCCTCCACTTCCTCCATGTCCGATTCAGGCTCCGTGGAGTTGTTGCCCCATAACCCGTCTGCTTGGATGTCGTCGTCTACCTCTACCTCGTGGCTCAGCTGGCTTCTCCGGTGCGCCATCACCATATGGTCCTCGCTCCCGTCAATGGCATTGCTGATGCCGCACGTGAGGAAGGATTTCTTAATCAGGTCGGCGGGCACGGCCTTCCACGCCCGTGAAATCCACTTGAGCACCACCTCCGGGGGTGGTTTCTTGATGTTCCCTGCACCACATGAAAGGGAGTGGGGACATTAGAACACAAGCAGGCAGACAAGCACACGAAGGGGAGACGGGAGGACATGTCCTCGCTCACTTGCAGGTGTTAGGATGTTCATGCTGTCCGCCTCAAACCAGGACTGGTACTGCTGGCGAACACTTGCTTTGAAGCTCTTGTTCACCGAGACATCGAGCGGCTGCACGTCTGCCGTGCATCCCGCCGGGATGACCGCCGGCACGATGTTGAGCGCCGCGAATCTCGCCTTGACTTCCTTGGTAAGGTGACCACGGTAGGAGTCGAGTACTAGCTGTCAAACATATGTGTATATGTTGTTGTTTAGACAGGCTCTAGTGGGGTACTCACTGTGGGGTACAACCCCTTAGGTTTCATTCTTGTACCAAAACCTCTCGACATTGCAATACAACTTTGCCTAGGATTCTAACATGGCATCTAGAGCATAGGTCCTTATGACGTGAGCAACAATGAAACGTGAAACGTGAGCAACAACACACCTGGCAGCCTGTTCTTGAAGACACGTGCGTTGGAATCCAGCCACTGCACCACCCGTCGTTCCCATTTCTCTGTCGCATCTGGCCACGACTCCACCTTGTACAGCTTGCTGCCCTCCATGTCCTTCAGGCTGTACATGCGGGTGTGAAGATTTGTCGCCACCTCCAGTGAAAACGCCTTGCATAGCTTGATGCAATTGGCCATCGATCCGGAAGCGGCTCCTCGCTCAGCTCGATCTCATGCGATGTTGGCTCGCCCTCCGCATCCACGCCGTCCACTTTGAACTTTCGTTTCCCGTTTGCCATTCGTGCGATGAATGGCGACAGCAGCTTGCTGAATCCCCCTCCGAAACCTTTCTCGTATTCCATGTAGCGCAGCCTGATGCCGCCAATCGTGCGGTCCACCTCCTGGTGCACGAGCGTGATGTCAACCTGAGATTGAGGCGAGAACAACAACAGGAAGGTTGCGTTAAGAGAATTGTCATGAGTGCCAATTGAAAATACCGGGTTGTCATCAACTCTTAACGTATCACTTACTTTCCTTCGTTGGAAAAACCGGTTGAGGGCGTTGATCTCCGCGAGAAGATCCGCCAAGAAGTAGAGGCAGAAGTGAAACTTCAGCGACTGAACAACGGCGGCCATCTTGTGGTTGTACTCAAGGAAAACCACGACCGCTGCCCCAAGGACCCTGCATAGCTGCTGCACGGTATCTCCACGTGACAGCCATCTCACGTCGAATAGCCCCTGGTGCTCCAGGCTTGTCTTGTGGATTTCTTACTGCAGCTCCTTGAAGTGTTCATGCCAGACGGACGACTTCGTGACGA